GATGTCATCCACTCCACCGTATCGAGGCTGCAAACACAGCACCCAGACGCCTTCATCGCCATCTCTGGGGATTTTAACCATGTCACGCTGGACTCCACGCTACCAGATTTTCACCAGTTTGTAAGCTGCCCCACCAGGAAGAACTGGACTTTAGACATCCTGTATGCCAATGTGAAGGAAGCTTATACTGCCACTCCTCTGCCCCCACTGGGAAAGTCTGACCATAACATGGTCCTGCTCACACCACACTACAAGGCAAAGATCCAGAGACAGTCCACAACCACACGGTCCTTCAGGACAAATGGTCTTCTGAGGCAGCGGAGGCTCTGAGGGACTGCTTTGAATCAACTGACTGGAACATCCTGCAGGACCCACACAGTGAGGACATCAAGGGGGTCAACCACTGCACTAGGGACTACCTGAACTTCTGTATGGATGTTGTGGTCCCCATTGAAACTGTACGCTGCTTCCCTAACAACAAGCTCTGGATCACCAGTGATCTCAAGCACATCCTTAACAGGAAGAAGAGGGCATTTAAGGACGCTGACAGAGACAAGCTGAAGCACGTACAGGGAGAACTCAAGGTCTAGCTGAGAGAGGCAAAGGAGGAGTACAGAAGGAAGGTGGAACAGAAGCAGCAGCAGAACAACATGAGGGAGGTCTGGGATGGCATGAAAACCATCACGGGCCAAAGAAGAAGGGCAGCAGCACAGAAGAGGGGGATGCTGGGAGAGCAAACCAGCTAAACCTGTTTTTTAACAGGTTTGATACTCCAGCTCCCACAGCCAGTGACTACACCCTTCACACCCCCATCACGTCCATCATCACCTCGGACTGCAGAGCCCCCCCACCCGCCAGTGGGACAGTTCAACCCCCCTCCCCACCACCACCACAGAAATTTCAAACCCCTCCCCACCACCATGGACATTTCATCCCCCCTCCCCACCACCACGATCATTTCAACCCCCCTCCCCACCACCACCACGGACAGTTTAACCCCCCTCCCCTTCACCATCACCAAGGAGCAGGTGTGCAGAGGAGGCTGCGTGCGCCCAAGGAAAGCTGCGGGCCCGGACAAAGTGTGTCCAAGGATGCTCAAGGTCTGTTCTGCTGAACTGGGGGAGCCACTTCAGCATGTCTTCAACCTGAGCCTGCAGCTGGGGAGGGTCCCCCTGCTCTGGAAGACTTCATGTCTCATCCTAGTTCCTAAAACATAACACCCCAGGGAGCCGGGTGACTTCAGACCAGTGGCACTAACATCCCACATCATGAAGACTTCCGAACGGCTGCTGCTCCATCTCCTCAGACCCCAGGTCCACCATGCACAGGATCCACTGCAGTTTGGATACCAGGAGAAGGTGGGCATGGAGGATGCTATCCTCTATCTCTTACACAGGGCTTACTCTCATCTGGACAGAGAGCGGTGCTGTGAGAATCATGTTCTTTGATTTTTCCATTGCTTGTGGTGGCAATTTCTGTGAAACAAGCACAAAGTCAAACACTTCTTTCTCAAAGTTTAATTCAGCATCTGCAGATGGACTCATCAGTACACATCACCTGAATGACATGCACAAATGAGCAAAGAACATAGGAGAATCAGTGTCCTTATAACTCTCAGCCCCCTCCCACTAAGCATGCAAAGGTTTTTATTACCCTCTTGTAGTTTCACTCAGTGGAGGAGACATCCTGTCCTTTTGTTTACATGTTCTGTGGATGACCCCCTGTGAGACCCCAGGTGTTAGATCACAATCAGAGATACCAAAAGATACCATAAAGTTGTGGTTTCTCAAGGCCATAAAACTCAAGTATTTTAAGCCACTATCGTAAACCTTAAGTTTACCCTTTTTAGATTAACAATTTGGTCAACCATTTGGTCAGTCCTCAACATACAGTACATGTCTGCTCATGCAATTAAACACACAAATTTCTATTACAGCCTTCAACACCATCCAGCCCCTCCTGCTGACAGACATGCTGACAGAGATGAGGGTGGACTCACACCTGGTGAGATGGATTACAGACTACCTCACAGAGAGACCACAGTATGTCAGACTGAAGGACTGCAAATCAGACACTGTGGTTAGCAGCACTCTCCCGTCCTGGCTCTGCCACATGCAGAAATACTCAGATGTTACTGCGATAGTTGGCTGTATCAAGGAAGGACAGGAGGGGGAGTACAGGAGCATGGTTGAGGACTTTGTGGGGTGGTGCAGGTCCAACCACCTGCAGCTGAACACCTCCAAGACGGGATGGTGGTGGACTTCAGAAGGAAGAAACCGCATCTCCAACCTGTGTCCATCGAGGGGGTCGATGTGGAGGTGGTCAGGACTTATAAATATCTGGGGCTGCAGCTGGATGACAGGTGGGACTGGACAGTAAACATGGACACTCTCCACAGGAAAGGACAGAGCCGACTGTACTTCCTGAGAAGGCTGGGATCCTTCAACATCTGCAAAAAACTGCTGCAGATGTTTTACCAGTCTGTGGTGGCCAGCGTCCTCTTCTACGCTGTGGTTTTCTGGGGAGGAAGCAGCAAGAAGAGGGACTCTGCCCGACTGGACAGACCGGTGAAGAGATCTGGCTCAGTGGTGGGCACAGAGCTGGACTCTGGTGACAGTGGCAGAGAGAAGGACCCTGGACAAACTGCTGTCCATACTGGACAACACCCACCACCCTCTGCACAACACCTTCATCAGGCAGAGTAATGTGTTCAGTGGCAGACTGCTGTCTCAATCCTGCTGGATGGAGGTGATGTGAGAACTCCAGGACCAGTAGGAGAGCAGGCAAGATCATTGCTGATCCYTCACATCCCGGTCACCACCTGTTCCAGAGACTTCCCTCCGGAAAAAGGTTTCGGGCCATCAGGACTAAAACCTCTCGCCATCTGAACAGTTTTTTCCCCGTGGCAGTGGGGCTCACAAACAAGCCCCCTGCATCACACTGACTCTGACTCTGCACCGCACTGACTCTACCCCACCACACCCCACCCCCTGCACATAATTTATAATTTATTACTTATATACTACTGGCACTATCACCAATCTCTGCACCTTCGCACAGCACGTGCCCATAACCCTGTTACTCTGTTACTGTATATATGTATATACTTTATTTTATTTTATTTTATTCTATTTTATTTTATTCAATTTCTTATATATTGTTGTTTTTTATATTGTTGTTTTATGTACATAAGTAGTGCACCAATGACACCAAGGCAATTTCCTGTATGTGCAAACATACCTGGCAAATAAAAGAATTCTGATTCTGATTCTGATAAACAGAATTAAGAACTCTTTCTTCCCCCTGGCCATCAGACTGTACAACAGCTCTCAGTGATGGCAGGAGGCACAATAGACAATGGACTAATCTCTTTGCACAACTTCCTGGACGTCATTGCCATGTCTGACTACCTCTGCTACATGCTGTGACTTTCATTCATTCATTTCTCCCAATCTCCTACGGTCACTTTATATTTTTAATATAGTTTATAGTTAAAAAACATTTTTATTTCTACAGTTACCTTCTAGTTTTTATAAAGTTTTTGTATAGACGATTAGCACGGGTTAACTTAACACAGTTCTATATTTATTTTCTATGCACATTTTCTGCAAATTTTTTTACTTTAATTTTCAATATTTAATATTCCTGCACATTTTTAATTCCCCGGTATATATTTAAATCCTATGCAGATATTTAATTTCTCTGTAAAAGTTTAATTTTGCTTCAATTGTTTAATTTAATTTAATTTCCTTAATTCCTCTCTACACATTTAAATTTACATTCATCTCAGGCCAATTTCTACGTATGGTTGCTGTGTAATAAGTTAACTCTAATGTATCAGTCAAGTCTAATGTATGTTCAATGTATGTATGTATGCCACTTGATGCTTGAATTTCCTTCGGGATCAATAAAGTATCTATCTATCTGTCAATCTATCTAGCTATCTATCTATATCTTCTCCTGGAGGAAAGGTGGCTCACCCAGCCTGGGAGACTGAGTCCTGGAACCTCTCCTTTGTCTTCACGACAAAGGAGACATGTGGTTGCAGGCTTTTGGCTACACATGTAGGCCCAACTATTCTTCACAAATAGTAGCTCTCCAACCTCTAAGCAGGCCTGTCTGAAACAGACTGCTAAAACCTTCCAAAGTGAGTGCCTGCCTAAGCACAAGCAATTGGCCATGACACAAGCTCTGACCAGCAGATGCACAACGACAAGAGCTACAATCAGCAAGACCACTTCACTGGACATCAAACAGCACATCTAAAAGGACCTTTCCCCCTTTTTATGGATGGGTAACACAACTGGGCTTAATGATTACACAAGGCAAAGCAAAAGACTGTTTAATTCTATTTCATGTGATTTGATTTGTGTTGCTGTGATATTTTGGTAATAAGTTATTTGAAAACTAATGTTAGTTATGTTATGCTCTTCACCAACTCTTTCTTTGCAGGCAACTAACTACTTTCTCTAACCATAGGTGGAAAGTGAAGAAGTACAAATAATTTGTTGTTTTATTTTCCTGATGACTTTACTTTTACTCCCTACATTTGAACACAAATATCTGTACTTTCCACTACATTCTAAAAAACTGGATCCTTACTTGTTTCCCAGCAAGCATATCTGGGATACCTACATCTTCATTTATTACAGAACTCAGTATTTCTTGACTCCTTCCCAGCATTTTCTTACTTCTGTGCAGAGAGAATGACTCTTGATAAAGAACAAAACTTTACCAACCTGAGAACATCAAGCATTATATATGGTTTTCTTAGCAGAGGTCATGGCCTGTCGGGGATATATTCTTTTTGATATATGCATATTTTTCTTATATATGTATATCTGCATATACATATAGATATTATATTCATATAATTGAATGTTTCCAGGATAACTGGAGTAGGGACTACAGCTCCCATAATCCTGTGGGAGTGACATCACCAGGAAGTACTGAAACACGAGCTGGTTCGCCAGTGTTGTTTACATCACGTGCAGGGGAGATTTCATTCAGCAGATGGGACAGGATGGAAGCCTCAGCGGATCCAGGCGTATTTGAGGGATAATATCCTCAGGTGAGGGGGAAATTGGTGGCAGCGAGGCTTTGGGAGGAGGCTGTTGGTAACGCCGTTACCAGCGTTTGTTCGGCCAACAACAAGAGTTGAAGATCTCCTCGTGTTTCAAGCCTGATCAATGAATGTTGTGGGCACTCAGCTCTTCCAGGATGCGGTGCACGGGCCACACAGCTTAGAGGTTTGCATGAGCTAAGGTGCAGACACTGGACAGATGATTCACACTTTGAGTGAATCTGGAAGTTTTTCAGGAATAAAGCGAACTACTTCCCTGGAGGTCTCAGACTCAATCGGTTTGAGAGAGACAAATGACCAAATGAAATGAAAAAATGACAAAATAATGATCACGTGGTCAATAGCTGAGACACTGAAGCAACTGGTAGCGATACTGCAGCAGCAGTAAAAACAAAGGGGTTGATGGGAAATTTCTCTCTGCTTCAATAGGCAACTTAATAAGGTGGGTGTGTATAATAAATGATTGTGGAGAATGAGCCATGTCACATGATGCGTGTCACATGATTGGAGCAGCGCAGCTCCAGTTGGCTGCCTGAACTAGCTCGCAGGGTTTGATCTATTCTTGATCTTCTATGTAAAGTGCCTTGAGATAATTTTTATTATGATTTGGTGCTATACAATTACAATAAAATTTAATTAAATGAAAGATTTGTTATCAAAGTTTGCATGGGCAGTCTAGATCAAACAGCTATAACAACAGCCCATGCCCTTTGGACTAATGTTATTCCGCCATTTGGCTGTTCTGAACTGTTTAACTCGGACCAAGGCCCTAACTTTGAATAAAGGTTGATCAAAGAACTGTGTCCAATTTAGAGCTGTACCACTCCCTGCCATCCAATGGGAAATGGGGCATGCAGAAGGTTGAATCAGACCCTCCCGAACCTCCTCAGCTCCCTGGAAGAGGAGAAACAGGTGTGTGGATTACTTACCTCGGCTATTCCAAGCATATAAAAATACATTGGTCCACTCTCTGGCCAGAACCTGCAGATTCCTACAGACATGCTGACTGGAGCTGTGGGACCTGCCATGCCTAGCAAGACATTGGAATGGGTGAGTAGGCAGCAAGAACAATTATGCCATATGCCTATACGCCAAAGGGGCAAACTCAATGACAGGTGGGAGCCGTATGTGGCCGTAAGCTGGCCACACCTAATGCATTTGTATAAAATCAGGCCAGAAGGAAAAGATGGTCCTGAATGCTCCATTCATCGCAACCACCTGCGGCGATGCATCCATTACCCCCAACAAAAGAATATTGTTACTGAAAGTGGCAGGATGAACAAAGCACACTTGCCTGCACAGGTTTTACCATTAGTAAGGACTGTTAAGATCCTTCTCTTTATGTGGCTTCTCTGCACGTAGGCCCTGTTCATTTCCTCACTCCTGCATCTGACCCAGCTCAAAGCTCATCAAAGGAAGACTGGAAATGTGGACTTGGTGTTTTGGCAGAGAGTTATTTTAACCATAGGCCTGGATTTTTTGTAATACAACATATAATAATTTTTATTACAATTGTTTTATCTTTTATCTTTGCACTAACTAGTGTGTGTGCTGTCAAGAACAGAG